TAAAATTAAAATTATACATATTAAAACATACAATATTGATAAAATTACATATAATCTAATCTATAAAATTAGAAATAATATAATCTAATATGCATGATTAATAAAACAACATGAATAAAATTACATCTTTATTCGTCTAAAAGTTGCCGAATTTTTGATCGTACAATCTTCGTTGTTGCTCTGTGATAGTTGATTGATCCATTTTATTTCCTTTTTAAGTTCCTCTTGTTTTCTCTTTCGTTCCTCTTTTTTCCTCTCTCGTTATTCTTTTTTTCTCTCTCGTTCTTTTATAGCTTCCGTATATTTGTTCATTGCTTCTTTACTTTCAGCATCAAGATTGAATTGTTCTTTCATCGCGTTGTCGATACAGTCGATAGAGTTAGTTAATAAAAAAATTTACTTTTATCCTTTGGAGGTTTCTTCCCCATTGTATGAGCAATCGACGTGTTTGTATTTGAGGATGATGAGGTGTATTGGCCCAAACCATCGTCTTTTGTTCTCTTCGACCCCCTATCTTCTACTAGGTCAACCTCTACAGGCCTCTCTCGTTGACTGGTCCATTTTTCTTGATCACACAATTCAACCCAAGCATGCAATAAATTGAATTGTCCACCTTCCAACGAACGATATAACTCTAATGCTCTGTTTTTTTGTCTTCTTCATTCAACTCACTTTATAGCATAAATATGCATCTGACATTATATATTACCATTTTATAGCATCTTTAAATAGATATGTTATATTTCATATCTTTTTTTTATTTATGAAGATTTTTTTTTTCTAATTTAGAGGAGAGTTTAATATAGCTGTTGGAGTAACTTTTTTTAAATCTTTAAAAAATTTAAAATAGTATAATTATTGAAGATGTTAAACAACTGATATTAAAATGAAATGATTGAACGATATTTGTCAAAATGCTTTATGTCTTTGTTTCGAGTAGAATGAATTACTCACATGGTTTCTAAAGAAATATATACAAGAATAGTGAGAAAAACGACATTATTCGTTTATTCTAATTGCATCTTGACAACGGATGTATATGATTTAGCCTAGGCGATTTAACCCCATTTTGACAATCCAATCGGTAAATGGTGGTTTAAGAAATTTTCAAGTCATATGGCGATATGAAGTGATCAAAACAGTTAAACCGTGTAACACCCTTAAAATTGGTAAAAATACGATCTATAAAAAATTAATATTTTCATAAATAAATAATATGATTGAACTCATAAAAGGGGAAGTATGAGAGATTAAATATCAACAAACAATAGGATTAAAGTTAACAACAAACTAATCTAATTCTAGATTGAATTGGATTACAATCGGGTGTTACTAATTCTCAAAAGTTCAATTTTGCCTAACAAGTTGACCCAAAAATGATGATTCCCCGATGCTACTAAACTACACTTGCACTGGTATCACCGGAAATAATTTTAGATCCGTGACTAATGGGGTCTGGCATACATTTCATTTAGAAAAGTATTATGCTTACACCTAGTGAGTTCATACAGTTCTATTTAAAACAATAAACCATTTATATTGAAAGATGTAGACCAAAGTGATATTACCCGAAAATAGTAACATTTGTACAAAGAGATATAATCTCCCAACATGATCAAAACTTGACAATTTATGTACATAACATCTTTCGTTGACGGCGTAGAACCATTTCCATTGATTGTGTCGGGGACACATATTTATTTCCACGTATCAATGTTATCGGGGTTACATATTCTGTAAATTTATTGCACACCCAAAATGGCGTCACCTCAAGTCCTCAAATACCTTTAGCATCTACTTCTAAGAGTTTCAACTTTCATGTCAAGGTTTGTTAATCTTAGCAGCTGCCCATTAACCATCTAAGTACTACTTCAAGACTCTCATTCAACCTTTAGTGTCCACTTTCTAGTATTCAAGATAAGAACAAATATAACCTACTTTGATAACAAAAAATGTACAACCTCCATATATAAGGGCCATAAAACCATAACACCAAGCTTGGAATTTAATAAATCTAAGGATTGCATAAATTCCCCTAATCATATATAATAACATATCTTTGGTTACACACTATAACCTCATTCACCCAAATATTCATATATATATATATATATATATATATATATACACGGGACCATTCAAGGGAGAACTGATTAGTTTGTGATAACTGTGAGATCCAATCTTAATCACAAATCAATGTGAGATCCAATCTCAACCACAAATCAATGGATAAATTAGGAAATTAATAATTATAGTAGTTTGAGTTAAAATTATAATTAGATGGTATATTAGGTATTTTTTAAAAACTTCTCTCTCCTCTCTCCGACCTCCAATCTCCGACCTCCGGTGAAATCGGTATCACAGTATATCACAATGGGTATCACATTGTGTATTACAATGAATATCACATTGTGTATATTTGTTTTTAAGGTTTGAGTTGGACCATGAGGTCCAATATGGACCAATCATTTAAGATATTTATTAGTATATTTAAATAATCATAGAGGGTAATTTGGTAAAAGAAAATGACAAGTCATTTGGTAACCTGCCCTAAATTCTCTCTCTTTCTTTACCAATACCTAAATGGCCGCTTCGCTTCCAAACAACATGGTTTCACAGTACGACGAGGAATTCACCAACTCCACAAATCGATTCATCTCCAAATTGACTGAAAACCTTCAAACTCACCAAGATCAGGACGGAGCCACTAACGAAGAAGATAAGATCCAAAAAGCTCAAGATCACGGAGAGGAAAACGATGAAGATGAAGATCACGGAGAGGAAAATGATGAAGAGACCGGAAAATCTGGTGGTCCCCGAGGTCTCGAGCCTACTCGTTATGGTGATTGGGAACGTAATGGTCTTTGCTCTGATTTCTAAATCTACAGACTTTGCGTGCTAGAGATTAGGTTTCCACTGATTAAATTTCTAGATTTTTTTATATGTTAATCAATATTTTCCTTCTGTTTTTCTAGTTGTCTTACTAATTATAATCAGATAGATATGGTCTATTTGTATCGATGTTCAGTAATAAACAAATTGTGATTTGGAAGTTCATCATTGCCATTGGAATTGAAGATCAATAGGTTTGAAATTCAATGTGTTGGGTGAAAGGTTCATTGAGATTGTAGTGGTTATGTTCATCAACGATAGTTTATAATGTGTTAAATTAGTCATCAAACTGAAAGAAGCATGAAGTGCATTTATCCTTTGATACAACAGGAAAATCAGCAAACTAAAAGTATTAGTTTCCCCATTGAAACTAGCCTTGACTTCTATGCCTCTGGTGTTTTGTACTAAGATTACAAAGGCACGAAAATGGACTTGAGTCATGGAAGAAATTTTATTGTATGAAGTTGGTTGTTTATTGTGTTTATCATACCATTCTTTATGGTCTTGCAAAAAAACTAGGCCGAGTTTGGTTTCAGTTAAGTTAGGTTGGCATCACAATGGTATCACAATGGTATCACAATGATACCACAATGTTATCACATTGTGTATCATAGTGATTACTTGGTACCGACCGGAATAATGTTCACCGGAGGCCGAAGATCCGAGGTCGGAGAGAGGAGAGAAGAGAGATGAGTTTTTAAAAAATACCTAAAATTCCCTCTAATTATAATTTTAACTCAAATTACCAAAATTATTAATTTTAAATTTATCCGGTGATATGTGGTTGAGATTGGATCTCACAGTTATCACAAACTAATCAGTTCTTCCTTGAATGACCTCTCCAATGAGGACCAAAAGAAGGTTGGGGACCATGAGAATCTATCTCAGTCATCCAATGCTTTTAATCAAAGGCCATAAAAACAATGTTATTTTTGTAATACTTGTGAAAGTGAGGTCTAATCTCACATCTAATTTAAAGTTCTGGGCAAACTTGTAATTTTGAGTCAATATCCCTAAGAAGGATTATCAGGAGAGGAGGAGACATCATCTTGAGATTGGGGTTGGATGAGGGTTAGATCTAAGAACAGGTTTTCATCTAGGGTTCAAATGAAGCTCCAGTGGTGGTTATGGTGACGGGAGTTAGGGATTGGACTCAGCTCTAGAGGTTTTGCTAGATTTGTTGCCGATTTAACCAGACCCGTCACAGTTCTCTACAGCGTATGCCTCTTCTACAATGTCGTCAACATATTCTACTCCTCCATCGCACTTCGCTGGAACATGGCGCAACACATGGTTGGCCCAGTCAACGACTGGTAAATCAGGTTCGACGTACATGGCGTTCGTCGTTAACGCAACCCAACTTCCGTTGGAAGTAATATTCGACTAAGTGATCGTTGGCGGTGGCATTGCGGGTTGGAAAAGAGATGAGGACTGTGGATTTTGGATAGGATGTAAATTTCATTTTCAGCTTCGTTCTCTGGCTTAATAGAGATGTCATAATGGTGGTTGTTTTGGTGAGAGGGTTTCGGCAACGAGACAGTCGTTGCGGAGCAGTGCTTTGTAGGCTAATCTATGGCTGCCACGACCGAGGAGTTTCTGGTCGGAGAAATTATCTGTGGCGGCTTCCAGTCGTTATAGTCAAAGTGTTGAATTTTCTTGTTGATGGGTAATCCCAAATCTTCATTTCATGGATTTTATCAGATTTCTTGGATGGATTATGAACATTGATGGCGGATTCAGCTTTACAATATAACCACCCCATCCAAAATTTGAAATCTTTTGGTCTGATTGTCATAGATATATAAACATAACGATGAAAAAGAAATGAAATTGGAAATAAGATGATAGACAGGGGTTGGGTTATTAGAGAAGAGATTTAAATTTAGGAACTCATGTGATTCACCAAATGAAACCTAGAAGAATGGTAACATATGTGTTTAATCAGATGAATCTCTGTGTGTTTCGAGAAATATTTTTTGGAAATTATGAAAATTGTGTTTGATTTCATGTGATGAAATGACGATATATGGGTATTATGTTTGGATTTCATGAGGTGAATAACATATTTATATAAAATGTGTTTTATTTCATGAAGTGAAATAGCATGGTGAGTATGTGTTTCATCTACTGAATCTGTGTTTCATCTGGTGAATCTTGTTACCAAAATGCTGATTATGCCCTTTTTAATCAAAACATCTTTCAATTAAAACCACAAGATGAAAACCATATTGAGGCTTAGGTGGTTCTCACAGTTTTCAATCTTTTTGTGATCCTTATTTGGTGTAACTCACTCTCTCTCTCTCTCTCTCTTTCTCTCTCTCTCTCTCTCTCTCTCTCTCTTTCTCTCTCTTTATATATATATATATATATATATATATATATATATATCTCAATATAACCAAAATATCATCTCCTATATAGCTTTTGGCCTTAGATGATATTATGACGTTTGTTACATTGGTACTTTTACCAAACGCTTTCGTGTAAGTGCTTTACAGTAAGAGTTATCATCTATATTTACCTTGTTGGAACACATTCTCGGCCTTCATAATGGATTGTGGTAAGCGTCTTTATGCGGTAAGTGCTTACCATGTAAGGGTCTTCTCCCTCGGTTACCAGATAAATTCTTGGTTCTTGCTATGCCTCTTATAGTGCTTGCCAAGTTTACTGGTCAGGTAGATGACACTTAATAAGCACTTATACAACAAGAGTTTAGTAAATAGCCCTTTGTTTAAGTGAAATGAGATCAATTTCAGTTATCGGACCAATCACAAATTGACAATGAAGGTAATTACTTAACCAACAGATCAAATCAAAGAAATATCCTTCTGAATCTTAGGAAATAAACAAGAAAAACTAAAGTAAACAACGAATACCATCGAATTTACGTATTAAACTAAACGCAGTAAGTTGAAAATCCGAGCCGAAAACCATCTATGCTTGATCCAAGAAACCTTAAAAATAAACAAGTTAGACATACTCTCTTTCTCACAATTCTTTATTGACATGAAATAGCATAATGTAACGTGAACATATAGGTTTTTATTATTGGCAGCAGGCACCTTCTTCCATTCCACCTGTACGTCTCTGGCCTGAGATCCAATCGCCTCCATGAAAAAGCTTCAATCATATACATGATTCAACTGCATCAAACCCCAATTGCATGTTTGATTGTTCAATCTTGTTGAAGAATTAAAGAAAAAAAAACGAATAAGGAATTTAATGGTAGTTAATTACCTGAAAAGACTTAATTTCACATTACATGAAGGTGCAAGAGCTTGATCAACCTGAGATTGTTCAATACCATCACACAAAACCTTGAAACGTAATCGGCTCATCAAATGCCCTTTGAACCAAAACTCGATCTTCCCCTTCATCATCACATTTAAAATAACCTCATGTTGTTTGACGCTCAGCATTAACTCTGTCGCATCATCATCATTCACCGCAGATCTCATTTCCTGCGGCCGGATCTTCAAATCATTCCATGAATTGGGTTTCTGTCTGAATCCCTCCAAATGAACCTTGGGCAATGAGAAACCCTCGACCATCGTGTCTACACCTATTCCCCCATATGATAACGTCATCTTTTTATTGTTGTTGGTTACGTTCACCAAAATCTGAACATCAATTGTCAATTGCGTATCCTTGTTCTTGTTCTTTGGCTCCGTCACGTTGAGATTGTAAACATCAAGCCTGTGGAGTCTGACTTCTGGTAGATTGGATCTGACAAAAGCGAAGAAGGCGATTCCAAAAATGAGAAGGAAGATTACGAGAGTCCATATCATAAAAGAGGCCCAAGCACAACACATAGTACAACAGGCACCAAAAGTGCCACGATCAGGACCATTCTCTAAGTCATCAGTAGCCATTTGAATTCGTGAAAATCAGCCATGGAAAAGAGTTAGGTAGGTGTAGACATATTGAGAAGGAAAAGGAAGAAGGAAGATGAATTCTAAAGTATAGGAGAGCCCTACATCTGCAGATAAACATTCGTCGATCTTGGTCAACAGAAGAGGGAAAACAGGAAAATCCAATCGTTATTCATGCATGCTTGTGTTTTTTTCTTTTACAAATATATAATGGAATAAATTATAGATTTCATCCATGTGGTTATGAAAATTCGGATTGGATCTTTAAAACAAAATAATTACATGTATGGTCATCTTGGTTTCACTTTTGTTTTGATTCAGTCCTTGCATCTAGCCCAACTTTAGCTTCATTAAATCAGGTTTTTTTTATTAACCTGGATATCCAACCCGACTAATCCCAGGGTGACCACCTGCTTTGCAGATAGCCCAGAGTCACCACATTTGAACCTCTGTGGCCACAAGGGGATTTTTATTTCTCCTTGGATTTGAACCTAGGACCTCCAGGTAGTTTTGACTTTTGGAGCCAAGCTCAAACCAATCAGGCACCACCCTTGTGGTTAAATCAGGGGCTTTTTGGTCATTATACATTTTCTTTCATTTTCTTTTTAGAAATAAAAACTTTATATGATATCTAAGTTATATTAAAAATCTCTCGAGCTTTTCCCTTACAGCATCCACAAAAACTGCCCATATCCTCTTCCCCCTGGCCCTTGCCATCTTCGACCCACTCCTTGTTTTCCGATGAAGAAGCACATAACCAACTCCCCCCCATCCAAACAGGTCTACTTTTTTCTCGGTTATCTCTCTCCCTTCTCTGGCTACTCCTTTTTTTTCCTCCAATGAATCCCCCAGTAACCTTCTTTGTCACCACCTACTATCGACCACTGCATCTCCTCCACCTTGGTTCCTTCTTTGCCACCACATAACACCACCAGCAAGAGGTGAAAACCACCAAACCCCCTTGTAGAAGGGAAAAAGAGAAGTTTTTTTTTTAATGTTGGAGAATAGCCAAATGATGTAATTTAAGGAATTTGCCTACAAGAAAATGGAAGCTAAAAATTCGACCATCTTTGACAAATAAATGGTGAAAGGTAGTGCTTGACCATCTTTGCCAAA